GACCCTGCGCAGGGTTTCCGAGGCTGTAAATCTTTACAGGAGCAGAAAGCCTCATCTTTCTCCCGTGGAACAGCTGGTAGTTTCAAACTGCTGACCTTGAGGTTAGCAGCCCGATTCGTAACCACTACGCTACCAGAACTCCTTACTCCTATTTGCTTTTTTCCTGTTAAATAGTTCTAAAAACGAGACTTCTGTATTAAATGTTACACATAATTAAATGTTTGCTAATCTAAAATTGGGGTCCTAGTGGGGCACTGTAAGATAAGCATTGGGCTGCTAACTGCAAGGTCAGTGATTCAAATCTACCAGCTGCCCCTCTTAAACCCTATACAGGGTTGCTACAAATCGGAACTGACACAACAGTACTTAACAACAACAACAACAACAATAACAGTCTCAAATTGGATCCCTGGTGGGGCTTTAGGATAAGTACTGGATTGCTAACCACAAAACCAGCGATTCAAACCCACCAGCTACTCCTTAGGAGAAAAATGAAACTTACTGCTTCTGTAAAGATTTACAGCCTAGAATATCGTATACAGAGTCACTATGAGTCAGAATTCACTTGATGGTAGTGGGTAGGAATCCTAAATTATTCCTCAAAAGCATGTACCAGTTTAAACTTCCATCAACCATATGCAAAAATCTTTCTCCAGCTCTGGATGTTATCATTAATATTTTTTGCCAATGTTATAGTTGAAATGAAAACAACTAGATAAAATTGACCTTTTTTGGTATGTTTATTGTATATTTATCAGCCCTGGTGGTATAGTTATTAAAGTTCTTGGTTGCTAACAATAGGTTGGTAGTTTGAACCCACCAGCCATTCTGTGGGAAAAAGATGTGGCAGTCTGCTTCCTTAAAGATTTATAGCTTTGGAAATCTATGGGGCAGTTCTACTTTCTTCTATAGGGTTCCTGTGAGTCAGAACTGACTTGATGGTGTGTGTTTGAATGGATTTTATTGGCCATTTGTATTTCCTCTTCTGTGCATGTTTTGTATCATTTGCCTTGTTTTCTACTGATCTGAACATTTTAAATCACTTTGAGGTGACGATTTTTTGGTTAGAGGCCTGAAATTCAATAGAATTTATTTTTGAAGTTCAGTAATTTCACTAGAATTTGTTCTTTTTTTAAAAAAATAGATTTCTTTCTTAGTACATAGTTCTCTTCCTCGCTCTCTTTAAGCTTTTATTGTATATTGAGTGAGTGAAGCTTACAGGACTGATCATCAGTTTTACATTCAGCAAATTTTTGTAATGATTACAATCCCTCCCTTATCCAACAGTATTTACCTCTACACTTTTAAAAATTATTTTATGTACACATACCACATTGAAAATATATATTCATTTAAATGGCCAAAGGGCACATTTTTCAAGCCAGCCTCCTGCCTGCAAGCATACTGCCTTTCTCAGTCTGTGGACCTATTGTCCTCTGCTGCTCTCTCTATGCCATGGTCTCGGCCACCATCTCTGTCCTTACCGCTTTTCTGGTTTGGAGCCCTCACTCCTCTCATGCTCTTCCTTCTTGATGGTCCTAGGGTCCTCTGTTCCTGAAATGACAGAAGAAATGCTCCCCCCTTTTAGTTGCACCTCTTCTACATTTACAGTTGTGACCCTCACCATTAGACCTGATAATAACTACTCACAATTGAATCATGAAACCCTACCCCCCTCATTACCTGACCCATATGGACAAGAGGAAAACTATTCAGTAAGGTTTCTGCCTTACTCCCTCATTCTGACACTAACCACCCACATGAAAGCATGTAAGCTAGCTACTTCGTGCCTTTATAGCCCCCCAGTTTTGATAGCCAAAGTCTAAGTTGCCAGTCCTTATAAACCCAGTGTACTGGGGAGACATGCGTGATCCTTGATATGAAGAATCCTTCCCTATTCAGTTGGAAATTTGGGCAGCTTCATCCACAAGCAAAGGTCCAGTTGATGAGGTTGTAGCAATTTATGCTTATACCCTGTTATCTTCCTCTGGTTGAATTTTGGTTGGCAAGTCATCTAAGCTTAGTCAAATGTGTACTGTCTGCAAGTTTGTGGGTTCTCACGTGACTCCCCCACACTTCAGACTAGCTGGCTGCTTCCTTCTTAATTCTAGCCCCCAGTGGCTAGGTCAGTGTCCTTGGGCTCGGAAGTCCACACATCTCCCTGAACTTCAGACTAGCCAGACCAACCTCTTCTCTCTCTCATTTCAAGGTCATTGGGCATCTATGGAATATGGCCAATCTCAGCCCACGTCTTCTTTGTTGCATTTCCCCTACTTCCACTCACAAGTAGACCAGAACAGTCACCAATGAGCATACAAGACTGCTCTTGTGTTCCCTTTGAGTTTCAGTCTTAGAAAGGGGTTTACCCTAATGGGCTGACTTTTCTTGCCTTGATGGCTCCAGGGAGTACATAGTTCTCTTTGAAATATTTAGATCTATATCTTTATTTCAGGAATGCTTTTTTGATTACATAATCAATAATTAATTTGTTAAAAATTTCTGGGGTTGATTTTGGAGGTGGTAAGAAACTGATTATATGTTTACTTCCTGTATCTTGTGCAAATTGCTCTTTGACCCTCTTCCATCTGTATTTTTCCTAAAAATCCATTTTACCTTCTTTTTAATATTATTTTGCTCAGTTTATTCATCTGTCATCCATGTCTTTCATTCTCTTTTCTGTGCATCATTTATTCTTTTTTTTTGCCTGTAATATGACCTTCATTCTAGTATCTTCTATTTCCTGTTCAATTTCTTTCTTCAAATCTGTCAATTAATTTTTTTATTTTTTTATTTGATCTCTGACTCCTTTCCCTTTGCTTTGAACTATTTCAAAGAGGATTTTTAACACAGTTAAAAAAATTTTAAATTTGAGAAATTAAAAACAGTTTCATTACATGGAGAATTGTTTTTTTTTAACTGTAGCATGGCTGCATAGATACAAGAATGATTTATAATTTTTGTTATTTCTCATTTCTATGTGATGGATTTGATTATGTACCAAATACCTCTGTGCTAAAGGTAATACAGAAACGGCTACAATCATACATTGACAGAGAACTTCCAGAGGTTCAAGCTGGATTCAGAAGAGGCCGTGGAA